CGTGAATCTGAAGGCAGAGTATAGCCAGCAGTATGGGGAATAGATGTAATATGAGAAACTCTTATGCTGTATTATTATAGTCTGAATTGTTTCCATCATTTCAGGTTAAGTAATTCCCCACTATCCATCTCTGAAGTGCAAACAGTACAGCCTTGATGTGCCCCAGGGAAAGGAAGCAAACCAGCCTTTGAATCTTTACCCAACCTTACTGCTCATATTTTGCTTTCAGTGAGTAAGTGTTCAAATCCTTTAATACTTCATTCCCATAAAAATATATTTACCAGGGGTTTTTGTGGCAGCAGTGAGGCTGTGTTTGTTATTTTAGGAACACCACACGACTGGCTTTAGAGAAAAGACAAGGCAGGAGCATGGAGTGCTGCAAATCTATCAGAGAACAGCATGTTTTCCACCTGTTGAGGCAGCAACCACAATAACAGATGCACATAATAATTACCTGTACCTCAAAGGCAGCACCAAGTCCTGCACCTTCTGCTCCCCACCTAGCAGACAGCTTGGTAGCAGAATTACAAAAGAGGAGCATTGAGAGTATGTAGCACTTTGTGAAGAATGAAAAAGCAGCTCTTATTAAAAAGAAACTGGAAGGTGGAAGATGAGAAGGAAAGATCTAAGGCACCATGACGCTAAAAGAAGAGTGGAGCTAAGGAACTCCAGGAGTGTATCTTTTTTTTAGAGGGGCAGTCAGGTTTCTGCTAATACCCTTTCCAAAGCTGCTTTCATTTGTACTCTCAATATTAGAGCTAATTTCTACTGATAAATAGGTGCCCCACACACCTACTGGAGCCCATTCCTCCCCAGAGATGGATGGTTTTGCAGAGGCAAGAGGGGCACACAGGGTAAGGGTCTCCTCTGAAGTGACACCAGGAATGACCATGACTGTGTGCCAGTACTGTGTTCCTGTTCCTCTCTCTGCTGCCTGGCACTGGGATTGTGCTGGAGCTACATTTGCCCTTTTGTTTGCAAGTCCCCCAGAGCACCCAGTGTGAGCAGGGCAGGGGGCAGTACAGGGAGAAAGGATGTACAGCAGGCAAAATGTTTTGGTCTTTCCTGCTTAAGTGCTGAGGCTTCTAGGGGTCTTTTTCTCCTCTTTCTCCGACTGCCAAAAGGAAAGTGGTGACATTTGGCTGGGTGAGGAGGACTTGGCCTCTGGAGTGATTTGTACCATGGTAGTTCCTTGTTGCACAAAGGAACAGATCCTTCCTAGAAAGGATTTGTAGGGGAAATTATCTCAGGCCCCATTTAACCTTGACAGAAGAAGATGATGAGAGGACTGTGTGCTGAGTTGGAGTTTTCCTTTGAATTCCTATGGTGTTGAAGGCAGCACTATAAATAGCCATGCTATCCTTTTTACCCTGGTACAATTCAGTCTCCAGCTCCCTATACAGACAGCAAGTCTTCTGGTAGGTATTTAGAAGGAATTAATTTAACCCAGTCTTCTCCTTCTGTAGTCTTTTACTCCAATCATCACAATGGCTTCCACAGCCATACAAGCATATTTCCTCAATAGAAATTTTCTGAGGAAGACTGCTGATATTAAAAATCCCATTTCTGTCTGAAAATTCGATCCTAGTTATAAATAATCCATAAATAGCCCAAACTATAAAGAGTTAGTATTAAAAAAGAAAATACACCCACCCCCTCCAAACTTCTTACTCTTTCATTTTGTTTCTCCCAGGTTTTGTTTTTGAACTGCACAGCATTTATTCATAGTCTGTTTCACATTTTCTCCAGTGTAACTGGCTGGACAGTCTCTCCTTTCCCAGGATCGACTTGTGAACATCAGCTGAGAGGAAGGAAACCCACATCCAGTGTTTCATGGCTATTATCTTAAAGATAGATCTGTAAGAAATTTAAACACAAGCCAGATTGGTATTTAAATAAAATGGGCTTTTTTTTTTTTTTATAGCATCTTTTTCAGAGAAATCCTCAGCCTGTAAGTGCAGCTGGAAAGCAAACTGGAATGTCACAAACATTGGAGTTGGTGCATACGAGGGCCCAGCTCCGGGCTGGCCCTGCCGGGGGTCGCTGCTGGCGGAGCTGCTCTGGGGCTCGCACTGCTCGGTGCCAGCGCTGCCCGCACCGGGGCTGGTTTGCAAACAAGATTAAAGGTACTTGCCTTACTGGTAGTCGAAGCTCCCGCGCTGCGGTGTCTTGGATTACCTTTGTTTGAATGATACCACTCACTTTGCTCCTAACGTGCCACCTGCACAGCAAATTTCTAGCCTCTCCGGGTGTTCAGTTTATTCAAAGCCTATTTTTAATTCTGTTAATTGTAACCCGTGCTCCGCTACCCTGTTTGGACCTGCAGCACAGCCGGGGTGAGGCAGCCGCGGGGCAGGGCTGTGGAGGACGCCGGGGCTCAGGCGGTGCCAGCGGCTCTGACCGGCCGGGGGCGCGGCCGCTGCCGGGACACGGAGCCCGAGGGCTGCCCCGCCAGCGGGGCTGGCCCGGCTGCTGCTTGCGGGGCAGCTGCTGCTCAGCCCGGCTGAGAGCCGTGAGGGGATGGCCGGCCTTAGCCCGTGTGGGGGGCAGCGGGTCCGTCCCTGCGGTGCCCGAGCCTGCCAGGCGGCGCGGGCCGCCCGCGGCGAGACAGGGCGAGCGCGTTCCCGAGCATAGGCCCCGCATCGCCTGCCCCCCTTCCCCCGGGATTTGACCCGAATTCGGAACAGAGCGGCCAAGGCGGGTCCGGGGCTGGGTGGCAGCGCCCGCCGCTCGGCGCGGCCCCTCCGGGACCCTCCCGGCACAATCCCCACCGGCCGGGGGCGCGCCGGGCCGACCGCGCCACCTGGCGGCGGCAGCCGGAGCCGCGGGCGCGGAGGGGATGCGATGTGGAGAGGGATGCGGGATGGGATTGGGATGATATGGGATGGGATGTGGAGAGGGATGCGGGATGGGATGTGGGATGATATGGGATGGGATGTGGAGAGGGATGCGGGATGGGATGTGGGATGATATGGGATGGGATGTGGAGAGGGATGCGGGATGGGATGTGGGATGATATGGGATGGGATGGGGAGTGGGATGCGGGATGGGATGTGGGATGATATGGGATTGGATGCGGAGCATACCTTTGGGAGAAAAACCACCCGCAAGGCAATGCCGCCTGAGAAGTTGCATTCTGTCTGTTACTTTGCTGTGTTTACAGTATTTTTACCATCAGAGTAAGCTCCAGATTTCCAGTTGTTCCAGTCAGTGTTTTAAAAGCACGGTAAGTTTGTATCCTGTGAAATGTGTTTAATATGCCCCTGTTTTAGTATATCCTCACTGACTCCTGAGCTCTGCCCTTTGCTCCATCCCGAAAATGGCTGGTTGATTCCTGCTTCTGAGAAGGGGAAAGGATAAGAAAATATAATTCTGCTTGAGGCTGGAGGCATCTCTATAGACATATACACTGGGGGTTTTTCCTGACTTGTTCTCTACGTTTGAATCACTTTATGAGATTTAATTGGTAACGGAAACATTCGTATTAAATTTTGATTTGGGTCTGGAGCATACTTTTAATTTGGCTATTCCTACTTTCTGAGGGTTTGTTGCCTTTGTAGAGCAGCCCTAGAGCTTATGAGGTGGTTTCCTTATGCAGGAACTAAAGCAAAGAAATGTTCCCGTGCTGCTCTACTGCTGCTCAGGGATGTCCAATCTACAGGGTTAGTCCAAAGTAAAGTCCCCTGAGACATCCTTGGTATGATGGTCAGATCCTCAGTGCCAAATACTCTGCTTTGTGCTCTGACTCCTCTAGTCTGGCCTACAGAGAAGATGTAGGTATCACCTAAGAGCATTATAAAAGGTGCTGAGTTGTTTTTCCTGAAGGCAGAAATTAGCCTTGTAGACAATGCTGGAAATGTCAAGGAATGTTTTCCCTTGCTGCTGTGCTGTTTTTGAGTAGCCAGCTCACATAATGGGGTTGTTTTCAAGCCTCTGCATTCCTGAGTTTGGTACTAGGAATACAAACTGCCATCCCCAGCTGGCTTTGGAGCTGGCTTTGTGCTGCAAATGCTTGTCCGCTGGGAACCAAAAGCCAGATGTGCTTCACATAGTTTCCAGGCAGCACTGATCCATCAGATGACAGTAGCTATTGAGTGCTCTTATGGTGGCCCAGAGACACAAAGATGAAAGCCTGATGCCTGTCAACACCTCCCTTGCCATTCCTGTGTGTCTTCAGTTTTCACTTCAGTCCACCTCACAAAAGCAACTGCCACAGAATATGATGTTGCAGTGTTAATAACCTTTTATTTTTGAGAAAGAAAATCCCAAGTTTTGTAATTTTGAACTGCCAGACAAATTTGGGATATATTGAACTTTGTCAAATATTTTCCTGCACCAGCCTTAGCTGGTAACCCACCTTCTTCTTTAGAAGCATTTTCTGCAGCATATCCTGGATGATTTTTAGTATGTAAGATGAACAATATTTGAATGCCCCCTCAAGGAAATGTATTTACATGGAGGAAAAAAGCTCTAATGAACAGCCAAAAGGAAAGGCCTGTAGAGATACCTGGAATAATTTCTTAGAGTGGCTTACGTTGTTTCCCAGCTGCTCTGCCTTTAAACAGCCTCTTACCCCAACTCAGGAGCTCCACCAATTGTAAAAGCAAGAGCTAACCAGTGCCAGATTCAAGTCTCAAAATACAAACCCTCTGAGATACAGGGAGTGAAGGGGTGGGGGGCAGGTTCATAAGAAAACTTCTAAGCATTACTGTAGCATAAATAATATGGCATCTTTCACCTCAAATAGCCTAACACTTCATAAAGTGATATGAGCTCCACTAGTTGCTGAAACACAGCTATTTCTGAAGTGGAACCTGATCTCTTTCTCTTTTTTCTTTCTTTTTCTTTTTTTTTTTTTCTTTTAAGCTAGCAGACTGCAATGTTTTAAGGTGGAGAGTGAAGGATAGAGTATACAACCAATCATAAATATAAATCTAGGAAGGCTTTGCAAAATGGAAAGATCAAGCAAAATCTACTTTTATTAATAGCATGCGTCCTGGTGTCCCATAAACTTGTGTCCTAAATTTATAAATGCAGTTCGTCTAGAGGAGATGCAGGCAGGATTTTGTCCTCTTTCTTTCAGCAATATTCTCTTATGGGCCTGTGGTGGCAGATGCTTTGGTTTTTTTCCTCTCTTCATTCAGTTTAATGTCCAAGTCCCGGAGCTGGCTGAGGAACCCCATATTTGGGCAGATGTTTCTGTGAGTGCTCACTGTCTTCAGGGCACCCACGAGTGTCATGTTTTCATGGATCATGAGAAAGGCAAGCACTAAAGTTGCTGAGCGGCTCACTCCCATGGCACAATGAACGAACACCTTACCTGCACAAACAAAAAGGCACAGCAAGGTGAGTGTGCTTTATCATTTCTAAAGTGGATAAGACAAAGAGAGGAGAAAAAAATCAGTAGAAACAAGTAAAGAAAACAATGGTGACAATTAATGGATCTTCATGCTTTCAGGAAGATCACCTCTCAGGCAAGCTGGTATTTCATACTAACCTCCTGCATCTAATTTAGGCCTAAGAGTGAAATAGTTGAAATTTTCTGTGGAAGGAGAAGCTTTCTGTGACTAAACTTGTTAGTATAGTTTTCTGTGGAAAAAAAAATGTTTTGGCAGAAAACTTTGGCCCAGCCCTGACTGTGATCACTGGCAAGTCCCACAAACTCTGTGGGATAGTCTGCCTGTAAAAATGGAGTTGTAATTTACTGTATCTCAGCAGCCCAGTGTGAGCTATAACTGAGGATTTAATAAAGCACTCCAGTGAAAGCAGCAGATCCTGCAGCCAGTCAGAGTCAGAGCAAACTCTGGAACAAATGGAAATTATGATAACTAGGCCCTAATCCAAACTCTGCTGACAAAAATTCAGCAGGCTGCAGGTCAGGCTCGTAGTTTTTGACTTAGTTCATTAACTTCTGCTGCTTCTCTAGCTTAATAGACAGGCTGAATAAAGCTGCAATTCTGTGAAGTACTTGAGTGTGTGAAGCATTTGAGCCAGCACTGAAGTGCCGCTGCTCCGCCAGGGAGCAGGAGCAGCATGCAGGGCAGGATCCCCAGCTGGAGCCCCTGGCAGTGTACAAGGGGTGGGAGGGACATGTGGGAGCACACAGATCCTGCTGATCCTTACAGGATGGGCCCATGGGGCAGCATCTGCAGTGCCATAACCTCTGCCCTTCCCTCTACACTCCAGTCTCAGAGCTTGCCCTTCCTTCCACCAGGCTGGGCTGGAGGCAGGCAGTCTTCTGCAGCTCCTGGGGACCTGGCACAGCCACATTCCCTGCAGCACATGGCATAGGCACCCTTCTCCATCCTCTGCTCAGTGGCTCTGTCTGTGCTGCCTTGAACCATATGCTGATTGTGAGCTCTGTTGGTGCCTGTTACTGCAATGAAAAGTCATTTGGCTTGTGTTGAAATTTCCCCTCAAAGTTTATCTTTGCTTCTCTCTTACCTCCTGAAGAGTTTAGGGCCTTGCGTATGAAATTGGCAGCATCATAGAAGAAGACACTTAAATCGAAGGCAGGATCATCAAATGCTTCTATTCCATAGTACTCTATTTGCAGATCTGCATAATATTTGGCTCCCGTGTCGATGTTATATGGTCCATCTGCTGCATTAAGGATATGAGTAATTTTGAGGCTTTGAAGTGTAGCTTTGCTCCTAGCAGCCCACCTGTTGAAAGACATGAAGGGCACATTGGCAACGCTCCTAACATTCTGCAAAAATAGCATGGTTTATAGTTAGTGCCTGCTCCCACTATGGAAGGATGCAGGAACTGCACCCTGCTTACAGAGGAGCAAATCTCAAGAAGCACATAGTGCTTTGCACATGAATGTCATATGGAGGGGTGGAGAACAGCGGGAGCACAGACTTGCCACTGGGTTACTGTTAGTTAAGCAAATGCCTCCCAGCAGATAATCCCTGGGAACATGGCTTACTGTATGAAGTGGTCAAGATTTTCCTTAAATATTTGTTTAGGAATTTTTAATCTCTCATTGGTAGTGTACCACGTCTCAAGAGTGAGAGTTTGCACTGATGCAGCAACATCTTGTTCCTGGTTTGGATATGAAGTGGATGCATTGTGTTCACCAGCTAGGTGAACCCCACCTCCCACCATAAACTAGGACTATAGGCATTCAACAGGATTCTGAACCTTAACTGATATGTTCATGAGGAGGAGGAGCTGGGAAAAATGAGCTAATGATCTAGGTAATCTGCAGTAATCCAATTGGAAGGAAATACCAATAAATATTATTGGTCACAAGAATAAGGTATTTGCATGAAATTCATGTTTGATATTTTCAGTTTTATCATCTTGGAAAGAAAGCTTGGATTTGGAATGTCAAGATCACTATTGCACAATTCATTTGAGTACTCCTCCTTCTGGGTTTTAACCTTGCTACCCCTATCTGAGTGTTAGGTCTACTGGCCTCTTGTCTGCTGCCTTAGAGGCCACCATTTCCAGGCCACATAAGGCATCTCAGAATTGACATCAATTTGGCATAGGTTTTTGAAGACTTTAGTCTAGAATACAAATATTTTTTACCCTGCTAAATTCATGGTGGCTCAAAAAATATAAAAAAACAAATCAGACATGCTAGGAGTAAAGTCACCATTTTGCATGTTATATGTTTCTTGACATCCAAGCTCTTTACATCATCAGTTTGGAAGTCTGTATCACAAAAACATTCCTGAAGACCCAAAAGCTGCTCCCCAGTAGTACCATGCCCTTTCCTCCTCCTCCTCCCAGGGACTGATAACAGTTTACAATAGGACCATAAGTTCTTACGCATCTCCCACGTAGATATTTGGCCAGACTTGGTCCACATGATTATCAGAGCCTCCTCTGAGCCACAGGAGCTGCTGGAGATCTGTTAGTGATGGTGTTTCATAGGCAGGGCTCCTAGTCAGAGGTGAAGAGTCTCTGGTGCGAAGCATCCTGCTGTTCCTTTGCATGCACTCAGGCTGTATCAGAGACAGGTTTTCTGAAATGAATTGAAAGGAAATTTTCATACAGAAATACTATTCCCTAGAAAGTAGACCTGTTCATTACCCTCCAAATAGGATTACATTATTAGAACTAGTGTGTGCAGCAGGGCCTGCAGGTGTTGCTAAAAGCATCCAGAGAGCAGGACTGACTCAGGGGTAGGACTCTACAGACATGTAATTTTTCCCCTAAGAGAGCAGCATAAGATAATGTGATTTAATTTCTTGTCAAGTAACACTATTGGTAAAGAACATCGGCACCACCTGAATGCAGATTGGATGAACCTTGTAGGCACAGGTAACATTTCTCTTTTTGTTAAAGGGCTACCAGAGTATTTGTATACACTTGATTCTGATTAGTTAAAACTGGAAGGTTTTGAATGTATCAGTTAATTGACTTACAAAGTTTCTAGAGCCACAGTGAAAATCTTATGATGTGTATGTGAGCACCATCTGTATGGTGCATATGTACACACATAGAAACATTGTGTACATACAATTTTATTTCATTTATAGTGATGCATTTAAACACACCTACACACATACATACACGTATACATAGGAAAAGATTTTCACATGCATCTATAAAAATATATATATTGTATATGTCTGTATGTATAGAAAGAGAAATTGAGAGGATTTGAACTAGTTTTTTCTCTCTCAGTTGAATATCCCTGGACAATCAGCTATACTGGTATTCTTGTGCCTGTCTATCTCAATCTCTCCTCTGGGAGCTGTTCCACTTTGTATAAATAATGTGACAGCTACTTCCCTCCAGAGAGGGGCCATTTTTCTTGTCTGAGGGGCAGGATACTTACCCAGGATGTGAGAAAAAAGTAGTATTTTTGAAATTATAGAGCTAAAAGTTCTGGCATTGTTGTCCTATTGAGAATCCATCACAGGTCTCTGAGATCACAGACCTCTGAACCCTCACAAATCATGCTGTGGAATATGGGCAACCCTTTTGCAATGCTGTTTGCTGATTTAGACCCAGCAAGCCCAGGTCAGATGGTTCAGCTGGAAGCAAAGCTCAGTCAAGAGCAAGATATCCAAGCAGTCCCTCCTCTGAGACTTTAGAAACATTTCTCCTGCCTGGATCTCATTATCCTGAATTGCTGTTCTTGCCCCCTGAAACTATTCATGAGCTTTATTTGGTTGCTTGTTCTTACTCGAGTCATAATCAATGTGGAAGGCACACTAGAACTCTTCCCAAAGTAGGGTAAATGGTGTTTATGCTGATATGGCATCAGCTTTCACTCTAATGCCTGAATGCCTAAATCTAAAGTTTGGGTTTATTTTCTCAGCAATTTTAGAAAACAAGTGTAGATGGACCTTCACAAGTCATCTGGTCTTCCCCTGCCACACAGCAACAGCCATACGGATGTTACTCCTAAAACAACAACTTTGTCCATGTACATTATTTTTAACAGTGTAAGCTGATTTGGGGAATAAGCAGAAAACAAGGGAGAATATATTTTTGCTTACAGAAAAAGAAGTGGAGTTGATGTGAGGCATATTACTGAGCATACAGATATATTTCTGAGTCCTCAGTCTAAATTTGCTTCTTTTGCCCCTTCCTCCCTCCTCCTCCCTACTAATGTTAAGTGCAGTTATAGCTTTTTGTATGTTCCAATAAGAAAGAGGTCTCCCTAGGGTAACTACTTAATAAGCAAGATAGGAAAAGCACAATAAAGATGATGGGAGACATAGAAAAAAGAAGACTGGTTTTACTTTTAATGGTGGAGGAAAAGAACTGCAGGGAGGTAGAGAGAAATATAGAGATAAAATCCTATGAATTTTTCAGAGCAGATAATATAAGATCAAGAGCTTTGGTAAAGGAGTATGTTGTGCAATCCTAGCCCAGATTAGCATGAAGAATAGCACAGAAAGAGATAGTGTGCATTGCCCTACAAGTTTTACTGCCTTATGAAAATCATGCACTGTGCTCAAGAGCTACTGCCAGCATCTTCATGATGACCTGTTTGTACTTCCACCGACACAGAACATTAAGCTGAAGCAGTTAAAGAAAATCAAGAATAAGATAATACAGCTTCTACATCAGGAGATTAATAGGACCATGGGCTCACTTTCGAGGAGTGTGGCTGACTCTGAGTTGCTGCAAATGCTTAAGGGCTGAAGTTGTGGAGCAGATAGATACCAAACTTTCATTTCTCCTAGACCCTGCTGCTTTAAACTTCTATTGTAGCCTCTCAGTTAGTTACAGTAATGGAGATGATGAGCAAAGAGAATTAGATTGTGTGGCCACCTGTTCAAGACCTGACTTTGAGGAGGTTCTCCCAAAATTGAGTCATTTTCGTGCTAGTGACACTTCACAGATGACTCTGGCCTTTGCAGCCAGGGAAATGCTTTGCAACAGAATTCCATTTCATAGAGCAATCCTCTTTCCAAAAGGTGTACCAGCATTGTTTTATTCACATGCCTGATGTCAGACAAGTGAGCTCCTTGTGTCAACACAAGCACGGCTCCTCCCAAGAGCACAGCTCCCGCCTGCGCTGCACTGCCTGAAATTGGAGTGCTCTGCAGGGCCTTCAGGGTAAGCCTGGAAATAGCTATAGCAGATGATTGCACTAATGAGGAAAGCAATATGAATTTTTTAATTGAAGGCCAGGGACTTTGGTGAAGGTTTTCCCCCACCTTCTACTTTAAGATACTGCAGAGGTAGCAAAAGTGCTGCCACTGATTACATTTCTCTAAGCTTCTCCTTCTGGGTGGCTCCCAGAAGCTGCTCTAGTTGGAAACAGTGACAGTAGGAGGGCAGGAATCCCTGTACCAGAGGGAAAAATTCTGTCTTACAAGGCCACTAACATTTTCTGCAGAGATCTAAACCATGCAAGTTGGATAGGATTACTTTTCTTTTAAACTGTAGCCATCTCATTAGCTTCTTTCTTTCTTTCTTTCTTTCTTTCTTTCTTTCTTTCTTTCTTTCTTTCTTTCTTTCTTTCTTTCGTTCTTTCTTTTTTTTCTCTCTCTTTCTCTCTCTTTTTCTCTCTTTCTCTCTCTCTTTCTCTCTCTTTCTCGCTTGCTTTCTTGCTTTCTCTCTTTCTTGCTTTCTTTCTCTCTCTCTTTCTCTTTCTCTCTTTCTTTCTCTATTTTTTTCTCTTTCTTGCTTTTTCTCTTTCCTTCTTTCCTTCCTTCTTTCATCTTTCTTATCTCTCTTTCTTATCATTCTTTCTTATCATTCTATCTTTCTTTCCTATTTTTCTCTGCTTAAAAGTAAAACAACAGAAACAAAACAATTCAGCCTATGGGAGACTTTGGAGGCTGGACAGAGATTTTAATGGCAATCCACAGAATACAAGGTAGCACACAAGCTTTAAAACTGTCTTGTCATTTCGCATCATTTCCCACCCACCTGGAGCACTGGAGTACAGCCCAAATGGCCAGGGCCAGCTTTGACCCCTGTCTGGCCTGTGGGGCCTGGGTTTCCCCAGTGGTCCAGAAGTTGCCCTGGAAGCCCAGGCTGGAGGTGGCCGTGGGGGACATTGCCTGGCTGCAGGGAGCACCCAGGAAAGGCTGTGGGTGACTCCATGCTGTCTGCATGCAGCTGGGGCAGCTCCTGAGGGACTCAGTCATGCCAGGACCTTGTCTACAATAACCTAGTGGAGATTTTTATCTCCCCAGTATTGTCTAGCCACTAGAATTCTACAGTCTGCAAAGCTTTTTGGTTTGGTTTTTGGTTTATTGGTTTGGTTTATTTTTCTTCCTTCCTTTCTCTATGGTGGAAACGATTGCCCTTTTCTATTGAACATCTCTGGGGGAAAAAAAAAAATGAAAAGAGAAAACCCACACCCTAGTGACTTGAATTGGCTAAAGCACTTAATAGATTTGCATTGCATTAGAAGATTCTAGTGGAAAAAAACTCAGCAAAGTTTTGGGGGTAAAAATGCAAACACTCAAATATTGCAGATAATAAATAGTTAATTTTGCTATTTCAAAAAAAAAATTACCATTTCCATTTTGCTATTCAGTTACTTTGTTTTGCAATTTGTTCTCCTGCATTGCATAAAGTATTTTAAAACATTAAACAAGATGAAATGGCTTGCTCCTGGTTGAGAAAAATATGTTTTATTTCACTAACAATGAACACAGACTGAATAGCCACCTATTTGCCTAGCCCAAATTTTCACTTCTGTAACTCCCTGCCATTTTGCCATGGTTGTTCCCTTGTCTCCTCAAGATGGAACTGAGATGCAGAGAGATTAAATGAATGTCTGAAGTCCCAAGAGGAGTCTGACAGGACATTAGTTGGACCCAAATCATCTTTCCTCCTTCCCTTTTGCTAGCACCTTCCTGGCTGGCACAGCTCTGCCTGTGGTTATGCTGATAGCCCAGATGGGGACAGGTGTCTTTCAGTAACAAGTCCTTACATGAGATTATTGAGAGCCTCAGGCACAGCAGGGCCTGTGGATACTACAATAGCACAAACACTACCTAACAATAACATGATACAGAAAGCTCCTGCAGCCAAATATCCTAAATTCCCTGTATCAAAACCCTGACAAACAAAATGGTTCAAAATTCCAAAGCATGGGGTCACAATATAATTCATGTGGAAGGGAAAAAAATTAAAAACCAGCCTCTTGATGCATTTGAAAATGCCATCTACTCTGTTTTTTCTTCTCTTTTCTCTCAGCAAGCATCTCTGCACTCTTCTTTTACACTCCTTGCTCTTTTCTCTCAGGTAGTGTTTAACACTATGGTTCTTTGTCCTCCTGATGGAAAATTCCAGATGGAAAGAAGTGTGTTTCACAAGGAAATGATCATGTTAGTGGAATGAATCTTTTAGATACTGTAACATGAAATATGATCTTCCTTTTTGTTAAGAAGACCCAGTCTGTGTCTCTACACTTTGGTCAGAATCTGACGCTAAGAGAGCCCAGGAGTCTCTTGAGGTAGAGCTGAAAGCTTGGTGTGCAGAAACAGGCACATTTAAAAGCAATAGCAAAGTTAAAACAGCCAGATGGGAACCTAGCAGGCA